CACATCTTGACTACTCATTTTAAACATTGCTCCCTTCTCTGCCCTTTTCCATTGTCTAGCTTTCAAAATATCTACTCTTGCCCCTATCTCTCTTCCAGAAAAATCTTCTGAACCGGTTCTCCGGTTCCTTTTTTAATTCCCTTAGAATATTCTCTCCTTTGCTTATTTCTTCAATCCTTATTATTTTTGTTATTATCTCCTTCTTATCATCTTGTTTCATTTGTTTTGTCTGTTCTGTTTTTTCATCTACTCTTTCATTTGGCTCCTCCTCTTCCTCTTAATCACTCATTGTCCTTTGTATTATATTTTCCAGCTTTTCATCTATGCCCTCAGTTCAGTTCATAATTTCCTTGTGGTTTCTTATCAGTATCCCTTGTACTTTGAATTAATGCCATTATCTCTTCCCAGATTCCACTCATTTCTTCTTGATGAAGCATCTCATTAAATTTTATTGTGTCCCTCTTTTGTCCAATAATCCAAAAACCATATATTCAAGACTAAACTCACTTCTCAAAAAATTCAATATTTTTAATTCTTTGTATCCCAAATTGATCAACCTGTTCCTCTGGATAGTCCCATATGTTTTCCAGAAGCTCCTTAAATCCCACTATAGATTCTGTCTTGTGTTGTAATCTTCAGGGGTCATTTTAATGATAGTGTCTTTCTTATTCTCACATTTAAGTCTCCTGTAATCAAATATTTCCAAGATTTTGGGAGTGTGTTATACTTCCTTTCGTCAGCAGGTGGCACTCTTAGATTAGATTTCAATGTTAATCAATTTTTTTCCAGTTTTCCACAATGTAAAAATAATATTAATTTTTTAAGTAGATAATTCCAGCATTTCAAAATGCCTATCCAAAACAACACCTATCCAATTTAAAAGTTCAATTTTCTGTCTTTTTAACGATTTCTTTTGCCTTTTCCCCTTTAATTCTTTTTCCTTCAGTTTTGGAATTTTCCTCAGAGTGTTAAGTTGCTGCTGCTTTTAAAAATAGTTATGAGCCTCTCTTTTCCTGGATATTCTTTTGGGGTTAAAATTTGAATAAAAAGGATTCTTCTCACCCAGTTCCAGACACTATTCACCAACTCTGCTCCAGCACAAATCTTAGATGTTCTTTGAATGTCCCAGCTTTGTGGCAGACATCTTAGACTGCCTCTTCTCACCATGGCATAGAGGGGAAAAAGCCCCTGGGTTCAGCAGGAGAGTTGTGATCTCTCCTGTGACATCTCAGAGTGCCCCTCCTTAGCTTCGCTGCCCCTACAAAGCGGCTTTGGCTCCTTTCAGAGCCCACAAACAGGGAGAAGCCAGCACAGGAACAGAGAGCTCTGTTTCTTGTGATTGGTACTGACCCCCGAAATATAGCCTTGGCCTTATTATTGGGGGTCTTATTATTTTTGAGGTACAGGAGGCCCCTAAAGCTTGGCCTGTGACAGAGGGACTGGTGCCAGAGCATCAACCAGCTGCTTTGCCAGTGCCTCTCAGGCTACTGCCTCCAGCAGCTTTTTTGTTGCTTCACCTGCAAACAGCACGAGGTAAGGTGGGAGGTGAAGGGGGGGAACATGCCCCACATGCACCTGTCATTCACGCAGGTTTGGGGAGCTGAACACACTGCTGCTGCCCGGGAAGAGAAGAACATGAGAAATAGGCTCCCTTGCAGTGCCTCCTCTCTCTCTTCTTCTCCTGAGTGGCAGCAGTGCATCTGGCTCATCGAATTTGGCCTGCTGATCTCGGGCGGCAGCAGCTCTGACCCGATCCTCACCAGCAATGCTGTGGGCAAGAACTGGCCATGCCAATCCCACTTCATGGCTGCGCAGACAGCCTGCACCGGCCACTGCTCGGAGCTCTGGCACCAGTCCCCCTCCCCCCAGTCCCAGGTCAACAGGGCTAAGGCTGGCAAGAGTTTTTTTGTGGCCGCTCTTTGCAGCCGCCACTAAGAGAAGTGGGGCATGTTTCCCCTCCCTTTTCCCCCTCTTCAGCCTTGCCTCCTCAGGTTGTGTTGTTTGCACAGTAGCTGCGAATGCATCTAAGTATTTGGGGGGGGCTTGTTTTCAGGGGGCTTATTTTAGCGCATGCGCTCAAAAGCACAATTGGGCTTATTATCCACAGGTCCTAGTTTCAGGGAAACACCATAGTACCGCGATGTCAGCCAGAAGTCTAAATATGAATTATTGTTAATGTATATAAATCTCATAATAATGTTAGAATATTTATGATGTTGTGGGGCTACATGTTCAGGACCACATGTGGCCTGTGGGCTGCAGATTGAATATACCTGCTTTAAAACATTTCAGTAACAGTCTGGGAATGAAATGAAAGTATGAAGATCTGTCATATAAAATTAGTAATCAGAAGAAATTAGCAATTAGTAGTTTAAATGAACATGAAATCAAAATGAACTTCCAGGGTAGATATACTTACTCAATTGTGAAATTCAAAATTGGAGTTCTATCCTAATTTTCCAATAAAAATGTAGTCTGATGAAATTACATTTAAAAATAATCACATATTAATTGTAACAAAATAGTTTTGATGAAAGAGCCCACAGTAAAAAATAGAATTGCTAAAAGCTGCAATCTTGAAATAAATTTAGCAACAACTTCTCTGATTGGAAGAAAAATCCACATATTTTTGCTGCTCACTGAATGACACATCTAAGATGAGTCAGCAGCATGTTCAGGCTGCTACTTAGGGGGCCACTGCTAGACAAATCCCATTAATCCAAGGTCTCCTTTTCTTATACTCTAAAAGTGACATCGGGCTACTGTGGTAGTTGCAAAGCCACTTACTCACTTCAGAGATTTATAAGCAACTCTTAATGGGAGAATGTGGAAATCAGATCTCCTGAGAATCTCATGGAAGTGAATCCAACCCTGCTGAAAAGAAAGAAAGTATGAAGCTGAGGGCCTTAGTATGCCAAACATGACTAAGAAGGACCTATTTTATTTCATGTATTTTTCAAATGAAATGGCTGCTTGACAATGGACAGTTAGCTGAGTACCAAGTAACTTATTTGATAGAAGGTGTTTCTTACGTTACAATCTCCTTTAACAAGAAAATATATATATATTTTCCAGATGCCCTAAGCTTTATGGTCTCCCCAAGATACACAAAGAAGGAACCCCACTTAGACCCATAGTCAGCTCCATAGGCTCACCTCTACAAAACCTAGCCAAATTTCTCGCCAAACAACTACAGCCCTATGCAGAATCCATCACCTCATACGTAAAAAACTCATTCCAGTTCATAGACATCATAAAGCAACAAAACTTACAGCCCAGTGACCTACTTGTGAGCTTTGATGTCATATCCCTCTTCACCCAAGTACCAATCAAAGAAGCCTTGACAGTTATCCAAAACAAATATAACCCCCCCAAGCACATCTTAGATCTGACCAACCACTGCCTATCCAACACATACTTCATCTATAATGGACAGAAATACAAACAAACAGAAGGAGCACCCATGGGATCACCCCTCTCACCTGTCATTGCCAACCTCTATATGGAATACTTTGAAACCCAAGCTCTAGAAAAATCTGATCACAAACCCAAACTTTGGCTCAGATATGTGGACGACACCTTCATAATCTGGCCACATGGGAAAGAAAAACTGGACAACTTCCTCACACACCTCAACAGCCTACACCCCAAAATACAGTTCACCATGGAAACAGAAGCGAACAAACAACTTCCCTTCCTGGATGTCTTAGTCTACAGAAAATCCAATGGCTCCCTAGGACACACTATCTACCAGAAGAAAACACACACAAACCGCTATCTGCACGCACTCTCACACCACCACCCTGCCCAGATCAACTCTGTAGCCAAGACACTCATTTCCAGAACAAAACGCTTAGCTGACGAACAACACCTAAAAACCGAACTACACACTCTCACTAACGTACTAACATCCAATGGATTCCAAAGAAATAAGATCACCAACCTAATCCAAAAAGAAACCCCCATTAAAATCCAAGACAGAGAACAAGAAAACGGCAAAGCCCTCCTCCCATACATAAAAGGCACCACAGACAGAATCAGCAAGATCCTCCACAAATACAACATCAAGACAGCATTCTGCACAAACCAAAAAATAGCCACCATCCTAAAAAAACCCAAAGACAAAATTGAGTTAGAAAATCAAGGAGTATATGAAATCCCAGGCACCGCCTGCCCCACCACATACATCGGACAAACCAACAGAAGAATAAGTGCACGCACTGAAGCACACAAGAACTCAGTTAGAAAAGAGGAACCAACTTCTTCCCTGGTCCAACACCTTAAAGCCACAGGACATGATATTGACTTTAAAAAGACCAGAACTATCGCCAAAACTGAACACTTTAACAACAGTATAATCAGAGAAGCCATCGAGATAGAAAAACGCCCACACAGCATGAATAAACGAGATGATACCTCCTACCTACCACCATTTGGAAACCCGCCCTCATTGACAAACGAGCCCCTAACACAAAGAATGACACCAGACCCACACTCACGAAAACCATACAGGATGTCACCACCACACATCCATGCAAAAAGCAAACCCACATGATGAGGCACGACCACAAACCAGAAGCCAGACCGCAGCTGCATCATTAGCCACTTTAAACCCCTCCAATCCATACATGAGGCAGACTGACACCCACCATGAAGAGCTCGCACGGCCACAAACACGAAGCCAAATAACAACAACGCAGCTCACCAGCTCAAATCCCCCTGCAACTCAGACTAAGCTGAACACAACCAAGCCCCCACCCAAACAGAACACACCCCCAGCCAATCAGAGCACAGCCAAGCCCCTAACCAATCAGAACACACCTCCACCCAATCAGAACACAGCCAAGTTCCCACCCAATCAGCTCACACCCCCACTAGCAGTTAAAAGGAAGAGACACCTGCGATCTCACATTGCTCCTGGAAGCACGAAGCCGAGAACACCAGCCTGAAGATGACGAATGAGACTTCGTCGAAACGTTGCCAAGACACTTCCAATTTTACGTGGGAGAAGACCCGAATAACCAAAGACCTACATACAATACAATAAGAAACCAGCTTCAGGCTGATCTGGGAATATCATGAAATGACTACAGGAGGAGGGAAAGTATCTTTTGCTCCCTAGAGCAGCAAATCTAAAGCATCCTGGGATGATCCTGCAATGCAGATCCAAATTTACTGTTCTGAATGACTCTGTTTATTTTTTTTTCCCTGAGGGAAAATACAAATGCATGAAATAAACAATTCCAACTCTACTGCATAAACAATAAGCATCCCTACAAAGAATTGTTGCTTTTTTAACTTATTAAGTGAATAATTCTCAATAGTGTTATGGAAAGGAAGTTTTTTCATGGCAAATTTAAGTTTTCTGTATTAAAAATATTATGATTATAATTAAATAATAGGTAAAATGATACTTTCAAATTATAATTTATATACTTCAATACCTATGTCATTGATGAAAAGTTTTAAATTCAAATGGAAAATGTTCCAAGGATTCCAAGAAATGCAAAATATTCCAATTTGAACTCAAAAGAAATTTGGAAAAGTGATTTTCATTTGCACTTCGAAGTATTTCACATATAACTTAAAATTTTATTGCCTTAAAGTAATATCAGGTTTTGCAAATAAATATTCATATCTGGATTCCAGATTAGCCTCATTTCTGAATGGCATTTTTCCCTTCTAAGAGCTTTGAGGTGTTGGGCCTGAAACAACCTGCGCAAAGAGCTTTTTCTACAGAAGAATGAAGACACTCGAATGCTTATTACGGCAGGGGGAATATGAGATGTTTCAGTATTCCCCCATGTTTGAAAGTGATTTCTTCCAGGTAAGTACTTTCTCTCTCATAGAGAGCTTGGGGGAAAGGAGGTGAAATGAGTCAAAGGTAAAACAGCTTATATAGTTAGGAGAATAATTTAATTTCTAACAAGGAAAGGCTCTTAAAGCATAATCCTGCTTGAAAGTTATACTTTATCTTTTATACCAGATAAAGAGAAATTAATTGCTTGTGATTATTACAAACCAGTACAATTTGGAAACCATCAAACAAAATGTGATCCACTGGCCATTTAGTTCCAGTCCTTCCAGTCACTTGTAAACATTTCCATTTTTCATTTCCAAGGAGCTCATCTTGGGAGTTAAAATCCGAAAGTTGAATGCATTATTTGTCAGTTTAGAACAAAGTTATTGCAATCAATGAAATGTATTAATAATCTAAGCATAATTAAGTCTGGTTTCAGTCCAGAGTCAGATGAGGTTTTCATATATAACATATTTTCTACCACCATTACTATCTTTTCATGGGATTGGATCCAAAACTGGGTTTGAAAATGAATAGTGGTATGAATTATGAAACGTATAGTTTAAATAAACAAGGATAGGCAGCTTTCTGAGGCATGGACAGAAGGAAGTTGAGGGTCATTAAGTAGGAAGAGAGCCTCTTCCTACTTAGTTCTGTTTTTTGTTGTGGTGGTGGTGATTGTTGTTGTTAATCATCAATCCAATTCACAGTTTGGAACTGGTAAAAACTTAACACCTCCTAACAAGTCCTAACCAAGGACCTAAGAGCTGTTAAGTTAACATCTGAGTGTTAATTCCAAGCAGGGTGATTATTATTATTGTTATTTATCACGGCACAGTCAGCCAGATGTTCAGACTAACTTTGGCATTTTTGTCTACCTATAAAATCCTTACCAAAGAGCTGGGATAGGCAGATCTGGATGTTTGATGGTGTTACAGATATTGTCACAGGGTAGAAGCAACAGACAAGCACCTAACACCCCAGATTTAACAATTGTCAATAAGAAAGACAAAAAAGTCTGGATAGTGGATGTGGCAGTGCCTGGAGACAGCAGAATAGAAGACAAAAAACTGGAGATGATAATAAAATACAAAGACCTACAAACAGAAATAGAACAATTGTCGTAAAAGCAAGCAAGGATAGTGCCAATAGTAATAGGCATCTTGGGTGCAATCCCAAAACAACTGGAGCACCACTTGAATACCATTAGTATTGACAAATTCGCCATCAGTCAATTGCAAAAGGCGGCTTTACTGGGAACAGCTTCCATCCTGCAATGATATCTGTGATACCATCTAACATCCAGATCTGCCTATCCCAGCTCTTTGGTAAGGGTTTGATAGGTAGACAAAAATGCTAAATCCAGTCTGAATATCTGGCTAACTGTGCGATAATTAATAACAATAACAACAATAATAACAACAATAATTTAAATGCAGCAAAAAGTACTTGGTGCCAAATTGACAAAGTTCTTGAAAATGAACAGGTTGAGATTCTGTGGGACTTTTGAATCCAAATAAACAGACAACTGGCCCACAACATGCCTGACATCAATATTGTGGAAAAGAAAAAAGTTTGGTTCATTGATATTTCAAGGTAATGCGTCAATTGAAGAGAAACATCTAGAAAAAATAATGAAATACTGCAGTCTGCAAATTGAAGTTGAGCAATTGTGGAGGAGGAAATCAATGATTGTACTAATAGTAATAAGAGCCCTTGAAGCAATACCCAAAGGGTTGCCAAGATATATGAAAATTTTGAATTTATCAGACCCGAATATTCTGACTTTGCAAAAAACCACCTTACTCGGAACTGCCTATATAATCAGACGTTACCTTAAGAGCTCTTAGGTGCTTGGTTCGGACTTGAACCATTAAGTTTTTACCAGTCCCAAACTGTGAATCGAAATGAAGATTAAATCATCATCAACAACAACAACAATAGCAATAATAATAATTTTTTAAAAACCAGCTCTTAGGACCTTGGTTAGCACTTGCACTATTAAGTTATTACCAGTCCTAGATTGTGAATCGAAATGAAGATTACATTTTAATAATAATAGTATCAAACAGTTCCCCCCAGATAAGACATGTTTCTCTATTTATTGGTTGAGAGATTGATTAATATCTGGGCAGGAATAAAGCTATTTAAAAAGCAATAAAAGGAAAGGATAACAAGTTTCAAAAATCAGGATCATGTTAAAGTAAAATATAAGTGTACTTATAATCACTGTTTTAAAAATTGGAAGTATTATTCTTTTTTCACCTCTTTTCTATTTCGTTTCATTTCTTGCTCACTTTTCATTACTTTTCCCATTTGTCTTATCTTTAACTTAAAATTTTGTACTGTTCCTATTCTGTGTAAAAAACTGCTTTAATAAAAAAAATCTATATATCTATATATACCAGTATCATTAAAATTGGCATTGTTTGAGAACCAGTCTTCTCCCCACTGTGTATACTTTACAAGCCATCATCGTCTATTCTTTTTTTTTACTTCTATTATCTGGTTATCACGCCACCTTAATATGTTTTTAACACTCTCCCTTGTGCTATCACGCATGTATCAAAACAAGTTTGCTTTCATTTTCACATCTTAAGCTTTTTTAGTAGCATGGATCATTTGATAATAGTTGGTGGCTTGCAAAGAGATTCTATAAACTGCCTAGAATCTATCTGGATTGAGGAGTTGGATAAATTGCATAAATATAAACCCTTAAGGCTTAAATATTTTATATGTAATGACTATAATAATTTATTTTAATGTATCTATAATATATTTTAATGTAATATAATATAAATATCATAAATCTTTATCATGTGACTTAGATCAATAAAGAAGGTAACCCAATTAATGTCCACAATAAGAAGAAAGTCATTACACTTGGAGTGACTTCCACCATTCCCACGCTGCCGATCCCTAACACCCTGCTTCTGGCAAGCTCTATTGTCTCATCTGAAGAACATATTTCAAAATCCACATCCATATTCCATCAGCCCCTCCCAGGGAAATTGGAACTGAAAAGGTGAGTCACACTCTTCTCCAGAGTATAATCTTCCATATTTAAGACATTCTAAGATAGTAACTTCTGAACTGTCCATCAAGATCTTATCATCTGGCCTGCTGAGGTCCTCCTTGCCCCTGATGTTCTTTCCCAAACTCTATCTTTCATGACTAGATTGCTCAGTGCATGCAGTAAGGAGGACTTCTTTCTTTTTACACAACAACAACAAAAGCGATTTTGTTTTAGTCATGAGCCAGTACAAAATACACCCTTTTAATATACAATATGACTGGAAGGAATACACCAGTACTTGATCTGATTCAATAATCCCTTAATCTATATGCAGCACCGGGTTGGATATCTACCATTGGATTAGTATAATATTGTTATACAGTTATAATATGTTAACACAATACAAATTTGGATTTGATGGAATAATAATAAAGCAATTTCTCTTTATAGAAATTCAAGATCAATTTGCTTTATGAATTGTAAATCTTGTAAAAGGTTAAAGATACCATGTGTTCCATGCCTTAGATTGCTCTAGCTGAAGAAAATTAACTCTTTCTTTATTCTTCTGTAATTTACAGTATTTTTGCCTTTCTGAACAAATAATAGGAGAGTGTAGAATTAATTCTGAACTCTAATCCAAACTCCTTTTAGCAACTGCAGACTTTTGGAACAAGCAAGATCCAAAGCAAAAAAATTATTAGGAACCCAAATGCTATTTTCATCAAACAGGTCCCTAAAATTTTGCACATGCCTTTTTCAAAACATTATATACCCTGTTAAAACTATACATAGAATGGAGTAGGAAGACAACCTTGTTATAGATAAATAGGACCTGCACCTTAGGCAAAAGGGGCAGAATAATTTTTAATGTCTACAGCAAGATAACATTTGGAAGCTGTTTATCCCTAATATACTGAACTATAAGGAGGAGGAAGAGGTACAGAAATAATGAGAGTTGCAAGATTGATGTTAGCTTCTATAACAAATGTTTTTCCAAATCAGCTAATTAACCAGTAGGCTAAAACACATTTATTGAGACTGATATAATAATCTTGAAAGTCTAATTGTTTTGATCCATGGAGTACTTGTATTTTGTGAGCTTGATGGCTTTTTTGCAGTCCTTTTGTTACCATACTAGATAATATCATCAGTGCTTAACTCTGAAATACTAAAATATTCTCTTATATCCGTGTTCTGTATCTCCTTGTCCTTCTTATGTTTCAATGAATAAGCTAGGCACCTGCCTGAACTACTTCCAAATATTATCTTGTTGAGGATTTTAAAAATTTTCAGCAAATTTTGTCTAAGCAACAAATTCTCTATCTCTCCATCAAGGTCATCTAGTTTACTCCTAAAATATTGAAACTTAAAAGGAGCAGCACAAGATACTGATCCATATGAAGACCCATCTATTAAAATATAAAGAACCAGTTGACTGTAATTAATAAGGAAACATGAAGTGCTTTCCTACATGTGAACCCTTCAGATACTATCTTGAGGTACATTGCATCTAAAAGCCTTCAGTGTTTCAAAACCATTTTGTATCACATAGGTTATTCCCTTTGTGCTTGGTCAAGATCTCAATCCACAACTTGGAAAAGAAGCAGCTGCGACTTAAACTAGTGACTGGCCGCACCTACTACCTTCAGCTGTACCCTACATCACATCAGCAGCAAGACCTTTTCGCTGATTGGATCAAGCTTGTGCAAATGATACGGCCATCTTCAAAAATAAATTTCAACCAGCAGAAGCTGGAAAACAAAAAATTGATGAAGCATAGTGCACCTCTAGTTCCAACTCCGAAACCTAAAGTAAGATCCCCCTCAGTTGTATTAATTCTGAAATCCTGAGAATTATCAAGGAGCACAACAAATAGAAAATAATCTTTCGTTTCCCTTACTGGAAATGAATCCTTACTTACAGATATATATTTAATTTCCAGAAAATGCTTCTCTGTTTTGAAGCACATAACTTTCTTGTAGTATTGGAATCTGTTAATTACTCTAGGAACAAAGATCTCAAGGCCAGCCAAATTTGCATATCCATACAAGTCAACTGCTCTTTATCCTTTTCTCTCCCATCAAGAACTGTAACAAAATTTCAGGCAAGGCACACACCTTAATATGCAGTGTTACTTCCCATACTGCAAGATAATCTCTGCTTGCAAAAGAATTACCGTATTTTTCAGACTATAAAACGCACCAGAATATAAGACACACTTAGGAGGAAAATTAAAAAAAATTGGCTAGCATCTGGCTAGCATCCTTAGCAAACAGCCTGGAATAGGTATATTAGCGTGATTTAGCACTAGCAGCTGATTGGCATATGGATCAGCCTCCCACAACACCCCCAATCTGCTGTTCTCAGAGGTGAACCTTAGCAACAGGTTCGTTGGTTGTGAGCTCTGTGCCTTGCTTTTTCAGCCTCCAAAACCTCCATTTGAGAGGCTGGGCGGGGCTACATTCAGTGTATAAGATGCACCCAAATAGCAGAGTAAATATACTCTAAAGACCAGTTGCAAAAGAACAATAGTGGAAGAAGTCTATCTCTTTTTTGTCATGCTTATGAATTTTCGGAATGCATCATGTCATTGTTTTCCACAAAATGCTAGATAGACTAGATAGATCTTTGACTTGTTCCAGCAGGATGCTTCCTGTGCTCTTAAGTGACAGTAGTGAAGACGGGAGATATACTGCCCTTATATATTACAAGGAACAAAAGGGTGAGCTGAGCTAAGTTCTCTGTCTAAGGCAGTGGTGTCAAACTCGTGTTGTCATGTGATGTATCAGGCCTTTTCCCCCCTTCACTAAAGGGGCGTGGACGTGGCCAGTGTGTGACGCATTCGGCCTGTGGGCCGTGAGTTTGACAGCCCTGGTCTAAGGCAAAAAATAATACAGGTAGTCCCTGGTTAGTGATTGCCTCCTGTAACAGTCATTCATAGTTACAACAGTGATGAAAAAGTAACTTTGTGACTAATCCTCATATATATTTCCAGGTCTGTAAAGGAAAGCAAAGTTGAAGACCATAAGTACAGTTGTGGTTTCACTCACTGACCACTTCACTTAATAACTGAGTTGTCGGTCCCGATTGTGGTCACTAAATGAAGGCTATCTGTAACCTTTTTGTGGCAATAAGCTGTTTTTGTTTCTTTCGGGAATCACATATTGAATAACCAAGGATAATATAGTGTCACCTGAGTCAAATTTTATGGCCTTAATTTAAAGGGATGCAGTATTATGGCATTTATTTTTCTCCCTAAACCCACTCAACTTAGAAATAAACAACTCAAAATGGGGAGTAAAAATTTTAGAAGATTAAATGGATGCCTTCAATTCCTGCAAGGTTCAATACATTAATTGCACACTTTAACCTTCCTCAACTCCCAAAAACTAGCAGAAAGGTGTTGACCCTCCTTGTAAATACTGTAAGACTTCTGGGAGCTGCAAAGACATAAGGTGACACAATACTTTCTCATTCAGCACCTGAGGTTGAGGCAAAGGACATTTTAAATCTATTTTTCTGTGCTTCTATATACAGGAGTTGGCAGCTGAAATACAAAGAGCCGTGATGGCGAACCTATGGCACGCGTGCCACAGGTGGCGTGTAGAGCCCTCTCTGCGGGCACGCCAGCTGTCACCCCAGCCCAACTCCACCGCGCATGCACGAGTGCCTCCCGCCGGCCAGCTGGTCTTCAGGTCTCTGCCACACAATCATGGAGTTGGGACTTCCCCAAACTCCGCAGGTTCCACCCTCTGCAGGTGCCTCTCCATGGCAGGAATGGAGGAGAAAGCTAGCATGTGATGGGGGAGAAACTGCAAAGATTGGGGAAGGCACGGAAGGAAGGAATGAAGGAAAAGTTAAGACACACTGGGGTGAGAAACTGCAAAGATCGGGGAAGGTATGGGAGGCAGGAATGCAGGAGAAAGCTAGGACGCGCTGATGGGAGAAACTGCAAAGACTGGGAAAGGCACGAAAGGCAGGAATGGAGGAGAAAGCTAGCATGCAATGGGGGGGAGAAACTGCAAAGATCGGGGAAGGCACAGAAGGCAGGAATGGAGGAGAAAGCTAGTATGCAATGGGGGGAGAAACTGCAAAGATCGGGGAAGGCATGGAAGGCAGGAATGGAGGAGAAAGCTAGGACGCACTGGGGGGGAGAAACTGTGGAGATCGCGAGCGCCCCCCCCCACACACACACACAGTTTTGGGCCTGAAAAGCCTCCTGCACCAACCTGGAAGCCAAAACAGGGCATGGGACCGGGGTGCATATGGGGGGGCACATGCACAGGGAACATGCATGCATCCATGCGGGGCGCATGCACAGGGGGGTGCAAACAGGGTGCATGCACAGGGGCGCTCGCATTGCATTTTGGGGATTAGGGCACATGCGCATGCATTTGCTTGTGCGTGTGGATGCACACATGCTTTGGGCACTCAGCACCAAAAAGGTTAACCATCACTGACATAGAGTCTTAACAGAAATTGAAATTCTTCCTGCACAAGAGTAAATTAAACCCTTTGCCTTAACCTCAGGTTAAAGTCATAGGCTGTGCTGAGATGTTACTTGAATTTAGGTAGAACATGTTAGGAAATTTCTCCTTACTTATAGGTTGCTTCTCACCTTGCTTAGTTTTCAACCATTGTTTTTTGTCTTGCCTTTTAGTGCTATGGAAAATAGTCTGACCCCTTTGTCTTTGTAGGAGTCCCCCAAATATTGTAATAGTGCTATCATGTACCCCCCCAGTCCTTCTTTTCATTAAACTAGACATACCCAATTCCAGTAACCATTCTTTATATATTTTAGCCTCCAGCCCCCTAATCATTTTTGTTGCTCTTCACTGCACTCTTTCCAGAGTCTCAACACTTTTTTGTATTGTGGTGACCAGTGATCTGTCCCCGTACCCACACACACACAAACACAGCCAGTCAAGGGTTAAGGAAACACTTTGGAACGCACCCAGGTCTTATCTTCCACTTGGCAGCGATAGACACACCGTCTGCCAAGTGACTTTATTTTCAAAGTAAAACAGAAAGATAAATACTCAAGAGTCCAAATGTCCGACACTTTAAATCTTTCTCTCAGCAGTTCCGGACGAGGCTTTAGTGACTATCTAAGGTTTGCTTTGTTCGTCACAAGGATCCTTGACCACTACCCTCTATTATATAGTCTCTGGGGTGTGGTCCAGTGACTCAGTTCTAATCCCTAGCACGCCTCCTAAGATGCTGCAAACGTTTATCACGCCTTCGGAGGCGTGCGTCCAGGAATGATGTTTCTTCATCACTCTGATTCGAATCAGCTGTCTCCTCTCCCTCGGCCGGCACTTGAGACAATGCCAGAGGGGAGGGGCCTGGAGAGGGAGGCCTGGCTGACTCCTCTTCCTCATGCTCGGAGCTTTCTTCCTCCGATGGGACAGGCTCAGAGGGCGGGGCCACAACAACCAGAACTGGATGCAGTATTCCAAGTGTGGTCTTAATAAGGCTTTGTAAAGCATTATTAGAACTTCATGTGATTTTGATTCTATCCCTCTATTAAGGTAGCATAGGCTTGCACTGGTTACTGCCACATACTGTTGGCTCATATTTAAGTGATTGTCCACTAAGACTCCAAGATCCCTCTCATGGTGGGATTAAGCCAAGATTCCAGGGGTGTCAAACTCGATTTCATTTAAAGCCGCATCAGGGTTGTGTTTGACCTCGGGGGACCATGGCTGCGGGGGCATGGGCAGCTGAACATCATTCATGTCGGGGACACCTGTGGTAGCCCGAGCACTCTGCCAGTGAAAACGGGCTCCCTAACCGTAACTTGGGCTCTGTTTTCACTGGCAGAGGGTTGCAGAGGCCGTCACAGCTGAAAATGGTGCTTGTGAGGACTGTGTGCGGCTCTCCCGAGCTCCGTTTTCACTATCAGAGGCACCATGGGCCAGTCCTTCACTGTTTCCAGGGTGGCCCCACAGGCCAGACCTAAGCAACCCATGGGCTGGATCTGACCCCCGGGCCTTGAGTTTGACACCCCTGACCTAGTCTATACCTATACAGTTGGTTTTTCTTACTTAAGTGTAGAACCTTAATTTTATCTATGTTGAATTTCATTTTGTTTGATAGGGCCCAGTGCTCAAGTCTGTCAAGATCTTTTGAGTCTTCTAAGGTGTTGGCTATTTCTGCCAGCTTAGTGTCATCTGCAAATTTGGTGAAATTTCCCTTCAGTTCTCTCATCTAAATCATTTCTGAAGATATTGAGGAGTACTGGGCCTAAAATGGAACCTTGGGGTACCCCACTGCTTATTTCCCTCCATGTGGATATAGTTCGGTTGAGGACTGCACGTTGAGTACGATATATTAATTGCACACTTTAACCTTTTTAGTTTAGTTTAGTTTAGTTTAGTTTAGTTTAGTTTAGTTTAGTTTAGTTTAGTTTAGTTTAGTTTAGTTTAGTTTAGTTTAGTTCAGTTTATACCCATGATGGTGAACCTACGGCACATGTGCCAGAGGTGGCACGCAGCACCCTCTCTGTGGGCACACGAGCTGTCAGCCCAATTCAGGTCTGCTGTGCATGTGCACATGCCTCCCATCAGCCAGCTGGTCTTTGGGTCCCTGCTGCACATGCGCGGGGGTGGGGCACATACACGGGACACACACAAATTGCATTTGGGGGGATTCGGGCACCCTTTGGGCACTCGATTCAGAAAAGGTTAGCCATCACCGGTTTATACATTCATTGCATACTTTAATCTTCCTCAACTCCCCAGTAGAAAGAGTGTTGACCTTACTTGAAAAATACTGTGAGACTTCTGGGGTCTGCAAAGACATAAAGTGAAAAATACTATCTCATTCAACACCTGAGGCAGAAGCAAAGGACATTTTAAATCCATTCCCCCTATGCTTGTATATACTGTATGGGAGTTGGCACTGAAATACATAAAAAGCCTTAACTCTGCAGTTCTCTGTAGGACTCCGCAGAGTTTATTCTCCGCAGGAGAATAAATTAAACCCTTTGCCTAAATCTCAGGTTAAAGTGATAGGCTATACTGGGTGTTAAATCTCAAATTTACAAATTGTCAACTCCAGTTTACAGAACTATAGCATAGGGAAATTAAAATTCAATCTCCAAATATTCCTCTCCTCAGAGCCCACCTCTTCAGAGAGAATCTCAATGTGCACCTGAAAAAAAGACAAAGAATAAGAAGAAGAATAAGAAGAAGAGCATTTGTCCTGTCATTCAAAACCCCACTACTCAGGCAAAGGAAACCAAAAAAGAAAATGATCCAACTGCTGTACGTTCTAAGAGCTCCCCCACTCCTGAAATCAAACCACCACCTCTCAAAATAGAGAATGTTCATGAGGCCTTCTATCAAACCCCAGAGGAGAAGAACATTGCAAAAAAGTTAGAGAGGGAGAAAGTAGAGAATCCTGGTGCTGGTGGTGAAACAGAAAACTTGGATATTAACAGGTACAGGTATGTGAAAGTTAAACAGAAGTAATGGGTTATATTATTATATTGTTCAATCTCCCTCCTCAGAGCCTTTCAGCTCTGCCCCATTCTATGGAGCTATGAGGCCACAATAGAATTAGAGAACATAACATTGCAGTCTCCCCTTCGAAATGTAGCTGTGGTGCTCCAAAGCAGATAGTGAGACATAGTGTGGAACAGTGCCCTCTGAACGCATCAGTGGTGGGTTGCTCCCAGTTCTGTCTGGTTCTATAGAACCGGTAGTAAAACTGGCGGAAGGTTCATCATGGGTGATCTACGCATGTGCACTCCTGCTGCGAACCGGTAGTAAAGGTAAGTGGAACCCACCCCTGGAACGCATATCAGAGATCTCCCCATAATATCTACACACACTTATTCATATGATGTTCCGAGGTTGCTCACCAAAACTCCATTTATTGCAGAGATGAAATGCTCCCGGTTTGGACCGGATCACCCGATCCAGTAGCAATAGCGACGGGTGGTTGGGAGAACTGGTAGCAAACATCCTTGCGCCCCCCACCCCATGCCCAACTGAGCCGCGCAATCATCAGAGGCTTTTTTTTTAATTTTAAAAGCATCTTTTCTATGGCTGAAGAGGTTGTAGAAAAAATGTTTTTAAAAGAGAAAAAGCCTCTACCGATCAGGCAACTCAGCTGGGATCGTCAGAGGCTTTTAAAAGAAAAAAAAGCCTCTGCTGATCAGGCAACTCAGCTGGGATCGTCAGAGACTTTTAAAAGCATTTTTTTAATGTATAATTTTTATTAAAAACCTTTAAATAAGAAGATAAAGCTAATAGAAAATAGTGAAGAAAAAGAAAAAGAAATCAAAGTAAAAAAAAGTGCAAAAAAAGGAAAAAAAATTAAAGAAAAATAGAAAAGAAACAAAAAAGTTAAAGAAATTAATTCCTGTATCCTTCAAACTACTTTTTTCAATATTTGATCCTGTCTAACCATTCACAGGTTCTTTTTTTTTTTTTTCATTTTTACACAAAAGGTTCATAAGAGACTTCTGGTCAGCAATCAATGTCTTCTCTCTAATCAAAGAAGCTAATGTATTTATTTCAGAAAATCTGTCTACTTCACAACTATACCTCCATAGAGGCAGATCTTTCCATCTCTATGCATACAAAAGTAATCTTGCTACTGTGATCAGACATTGAAATAATTTTCCATGGCTGTTTATTCATTAATCAATCCTAAAAAGAAAAAAAAATGTCTTCAATTGAATATTAATCTTTGAATCTTCTGTGTCAAAATATGTATTTGGATCCAAACTTTTTTTTTTTTAGCTTTTTTATATGTCCATCAAGCATGATAAATGTCCTGTCATATTTTGACATTTCCAACATACATCTAAAGTGCCTTCTAGATAATTTCTATAGCATAATGTATCAATCATACACTAGTCTCTTCCATAAATGGGGAAATCTCTCTTCTTCAAAATGTAGCTGTGATGCTCCAGAGCAGACAGCGATTGTTAACTTGGTAAGTTGGTAACATGGTTGTTAAGTGAATCTGGCTTCCCCATTGACTTTGCTTGTCTAAAGGTCGCAAAAGGTGATCACATGACCCCGGGACACCGCAACCATTATAAATACATGCCAGTTGCCAAGCATCCAAATTTTGATCATGTGACCATAGGGAGGCTGCAATGGTCATAAGTGTGAAAAACATTCACAAATCACTTTTTTCAGTGCTATTGTAACTTTGAACGGCACTAAATGAGCTGTTAATAATTACATGTAACTGCAATACAAACAGAAACCCTTAATATGTTTGTTTACCTTACTTCCCTTCATTTTGTACTTAACATTCACATATGAAAGAACTAATAAGAGAAGCTTAACAAGGCCAGTAATTTTTATTTAATGCACTATATTTTACTTTTTTTCTTACAATGGTTGTCAATTTTATTTTTTATTTTCTCTTTATATAGTTTGATTTAATCTTACTATGAATCATAAAACCAGAAAGAGGGTGAGGGGCATTCTGTTTGTTTACTTATTAGTCAAAGAAAAGAGGAAAACCTCTTATGGTATTTAGCAATAAATTTCTAATATTGCACAATTATTCTTATTTCAGAAAACCAGTTAGGAAGAATCTCTCCAGTCAAAGCAGGTCTGGACACAGAGGTAAGAGATGATTAATGTGTTATTTTTTGCACAAGGAAAATAAACCATTATCTAAGCTTATGGTTATGGGGGATTTCAACCTACCGTCCATGGGTGAGACGTCAGAGATGGCTCAGGAGTTCATGGCTTCCATGACAGCTATGGACCTGACCCAGTTAATTCATGGCCCTACCCACACAGGGGGAAACACGCTGGATCTGGTTTTTGTCTCTGGACAGTGGTTGAGGGATCTTGATATAGGGGATATAGTTACTGAACCCTTGTCATGGTCAGATCACTCTCTCCTTCGTCTCGACTTTCGAACCGCTGCACCCCGCCGCAGGGAGGCGGAGCCAGTCAGATGGTTCCGCCCCAGGCGCCTGATGGAACCTGACAGATTCCAGACGGAGCTTGGGCCATTTCCTGAGGTTCTGGCACACGCCTCGACTGGAGACCTGGTGGCCGCCTGGGATAGGGCGGCTGCTGGTGCTCTGGATCGGGTCGTGCCTTTGCGGCCTCTGACCCGGCGCCGATCTCAATTGGCTCCTTGGTTTACCGAGGAGCTGAGGGAGTTGAAGCGCCGGAAAAGACGCCTAGAGAGTAGTTGGAGGGCCAGTCTTCTTGAATCTGACCGGACACTAGTAAGATCCCACATTAGGAATTACTTAGTGGCGATAAAAGCAGCGAAATGTAGTTATTTTGCTGCTCTTATTGCGTCATCAGATAATCGCCCGGCCGCCCTCTTTAGGGTGACCCGCTCCCTGCTCCACCAGGAAGCGCGGGAGGACCCCTTGGAGGGTAGAGCCGAGGATTTTGTTCAGTATCTGTATGACAAAATCACTCAGATTCGGGAAGATTTGGACTCCGACTGGGTAGTCTCAGGGGGAGAGACAGGGGCAGGTCTTGAGAATGTTATCTGGGATGAGTTTGATCCTGGGACCCCTGAGGACGTGGACAGGATTCTGGGTAGACTGAACGCGACCACTTGTTTATTGGACCCGTGTCCTTCCTGGTTAGTACTGGCTTCCCGGGAAGTGACACGAGGCTGGCTCCAGGGGATTATAAACGCTTCGCTGAGTGAGGGTGACTTTCCCGCTGCCTTGAAAGAGGCGGTGGTGAGGCCTCTCCTCAAGAAGCCTTCCCTGGACCCGGCAATGTTGGTAAATTATCGTCCGGTCTCCAATCTTCGCTTTGTTGCGAAGGTTGTTGAGAGTGTGGTCGCGCAACAGCTCCCCCAGCACCTGGATGAAACGACGTATCTGGATCCGTTCCAGTCGGGCTTCAGGCCCGGGTACAGCATGGAAACGGCATTGGTCGCGTTGGTTGATGATCTCTGGAGGGCTCGGGACAGGGGGTGCTCCTCTGTCCTGGTCCTGTTAGATCTCTCAGCGGCTTTTGATACCATCGACCATGGTATCATGCTGCACCGGTTGGAAGAGTTGGGGGTGGGAGGCACTGTGTTGCGGTGGTTCTCCTCCTTTCTCTCTGACTGGTCGCAGTCTGTGTTGACAGGGGGACAGAGGTCGACCCCGAGGCCCCTCATATGTGGGGTGCCGCAAGGGTCGGTCCTCTCGCCTCTCCTGTTCAACATTTATGTGAAGCCGCTGGACGAGATCATCCGTGGTTTCGGGGTGGAGTACCATCAGTACGCTGACGACACCCAGCTGTACATCTCCACCCCAGACCACCCCAACGATGCCCTTGAAGTGATGTCCCGGTGCCTGGAGGCCGTACGGATCTGGATGGGGAGAAACAGGCTCAAGCTCAACCCATCCAAGACCGAGTGGCTGTGGTTTCCGACGTCCCGATATAGTCAGCTGGTGCCATCGCTGACTATTGGGGGCGAAGCATTGGCCCCCACGGAGAGGGCTCGCAACTTGGGTGTCCTCCTGGATTCACGGCTGTCTTTAGAAGAGCACTTGACAGCCGTGACCGGGAGGATTTTTCATCAGGTTCGCCTGATCCGCCAGTTGCGTCCCTTTCTGGATCGGGACTCATTACGCACGGTCACTCATGCCCTCGTCACCTCCCGTCTGGACTATTGTAACGCTCTCTACATGGGGCTCCCCTTGAGGAGCACTCGGAGGCTCCAACTGGCGCAGAGTGCGGCCGCGCGGGTGGTGATGGGAGCGACGTGGCGCTCCCATGTAACGCCTCTCCTGCCCGAGCTGCACTGGCTTCCGGTGGTCTTCCGAGTGCGCTTCAAGGTTTTGGTTATCACCTTTAGAGCGCTCCATGGCTTAGGACCTGGTTATCTACGGGACCGCCTGCTACCACCAATAGCCTCCCACCGACCAGTACGCTCCCATAGAGAGGGGCTCCTCCGGGTGCCGTCGGCCAAACAATGTCGACTGGCGGCCCCCAGGGGAGAGCCTTCTCTGTGGGGGCACCTACTATCTGGAACGAGCTCCCCCCAGAGATACGGAGGATCCCGGATCTGCGCACCTTCTGCCGCGCCTTAAAGACCTTACTATTTCACCAGGCCAGCCTGGCCTAATTTTCCCCCTCTTTTATAAAAGATTTTTAAAATTTTAAATATCTTTTAGTATTTTATATATTCAATTTTAAATTGGTTTTAAAAGTTTGGGGTTTTAAATCATATTAAATCATATTTGGATGTGTCAACGTTTCTATTGTTGAAAGCCACATTGGTACTTCCGTATAATGTTTTTCTTTCACTCTTTCCCATCTTCATCTTCATATTCTAATATTTTCCAGTGTAATTTTGCATAAAATTCTTCTTGATTTTCATTTGAAGCATATATACACACAAGTAATATTTTTTATAGTTCATTACAATTTCTACCATTAATACTCTTCCTTCCTCCTCCTCATATATTTGTTTGGATTGGATTGTCTGTTTGATGTAAAATGCTACTTCTCTTTTGCTTTGACCAGCCAAAGTTGTATACAATGTCCCTAGTTTTATTCGCTCCCAAAAAAATGTATGTTGCTTTCTAATATGCACTTCTTGTAAACATATAATTTCTAATTTTAACTTCTTTAATTTATTGAATATTTTTCTTCTCTTCATTGCCGAGTTTAATCCATTTATATTCACCAATATTATTTTAATTTCTTCTTCCATTTCTTATTTATTTGCTTTGTTGATCTAGTCATTCTTAGCTCCCTTAGTTCCTTAGCTTCTTTCGCCCTTGTTCCTTCTCTTAATGATCTCTTTTTTTGTTCTTTCATTGTCTCTCTTGGCTGTTCTTTCTTCTCCTCCTGTTGTTCATCCCCTTTTTCTTCCCTCAACCTTCCTTCCTCTTGGACATCTATGTATTGTTTATAAAATAATTCTGCTTTCTCTACTGAATCTAGTCTGTATCTTTGTTCTTCCCAGTTCACCAATATTCCTTCTGGAATCAACCATCTAAAATTTATTCCTTTCTTTATCAAACATTTCATGAGAAATTGATATTCTTTTCTCAAATCTCTCACTCTTCTTGGAATTTGTTTCAGTGCCACTATTTCCCTCCCTTTATACTTTATCATTGTGTTTCTCATCAATTGCAATATCTCTGTTCTCAATGTGTTCTTGGTGAATCTGACATGAATTTCTCTAGGTAGATTATATCTCATCGCATATCTTGTGTGCACTCTGTATATCTTGTCGATTCCACTAAATAACCCTTCCTTACTTTCATCCATTGCTCCTGCTAGTATCTCTGCATTTTCTCGACTAAATTTTCTCCCTTTTCTTCTTCAATGTTTTGTAATTTTAGATAAAAATCAGCTTTATCCATTTCCAGGGTTATAATTCTTTCTTCCTGATTTTTCTCAATAATTGTAAGTCTATAGTCCATCCCTTAAACTTTTTTCTCCATTGCTTCTGCTTTTTCTTCCATTTGCTGCAATCGTTGTTCATTTTTCCATATCATTTCTTTAACTTCTTTCCATTCTCCTTCCATTTTTCCATTCTCCCATCTACTTTGTCTAATCTTGTCTTAAGATCTTCATATATAATCTGTAGCATATTTTTTAATTCTGTTTATTTTCTCTCTGTGCTGCATGGCATGGGTTTTGTTTTTTTGCCCAGTAGTACCAGATGCTGCAGATATTGATGGTGATGATGAATGTTGTGTTGTTTTCTTCATCTTGTTGTTTTTTTTTTCAAATCTTACTGCCCAATTTATAATCCAAATATTCGATTTCTTCAAATTCAAACTGCCCACTCAGACTTTTCAGGTTCTTGCTACCCTAATCCACATAGATTTAATCCACATAGGATTAAAAAAAGGTAGAAAGACTGTAACTGAAAAAACACCAAAAACAATGAAAAATCAAAAACAGCAAAAATGCCCCCAAAAGGCAAAAGAAAAAGAAAAAAGAAAAAGAAGATAAAAGAAAAGCAAAAGAGAAAAAAAAATTACTACCCAGTTTTATAATGCAAATATAAATATATAATGAGACCCTTCTGAGCATGCGCAAGATGGCGGTCGTGAGGTGAGGTGCTGCGGCTGGATGGAGGACTTTCTGGGGCTCGAGGGGGTGCTGCAGGGGAGCTCGACCATCAGCAACCCCTGATTCGGTCGGATGGCTTCGGGGCGAGGGGTTTGCGATCTTCCTCGCCCCTGGACGCCCCCAGAGTCGGAGGTGGCGAGGGAGAGTGTGGCCGCGCTGCTCCGACTCTGCTGCCGCCGCCGAGAGCCGAGCCGAGTGGAGAGTGGAGAGCGGCGGCACTGCTGGGAAGGAAAAGGAGAAGGGAGAGCGGAGCCGAGCCGAGCGGAGAGCGGAGAACGGAGATATGGAGATGTGGCTTGCTGGCGGCAGTGGAGTCAGTCAGCGGAGGGGGCGAGGGTTTTTGAGATCTCCCTCGCCCCTGGACATGCCTAGAGGCGCTGGCGAAGAAGTTGGCCGCACTGCTCCAACGCCGCCGAAAGTGGTGCTATGGTGGTTTGTTCGGCGGCAGTCATTGGCAGCGATAGCGGCAAGGTGAAGGGGGAAGTATGGCTGTGGGGCAGCGAGTGGTGGCAGCCTGTTGAAATTTCATCTGCCCCACTCAGGAACTTCCTCAGCAG